TACTATACTAGTAACAGAAGATCTACAAAGTGAGGTCCATGGTTCAGCAGCATCAGTGTCACCTGGGAGCTTGTCAGAAATGCTCAATTGTGGGCTGCATCTCAGATCTACTGAATCAGAATCTAGGTTTTTAATATAATCCTCGGTGATTCACATGTGCAGTGTAGCATAGGAAGCAATGGTCTAGTGGACAAGTGAATACCTGCCAAGAAGGACCTCCATCAAAAGGCCTCCAAGGACCCCTTGGGAACCTCAAACCAATGATTTACACCTCTTGCTAGGCAAGGATGGCTGCCATAGCTATCAGCCCTCTGACGACAGCTACCAACCGATCTCCTGAATAGGTGAGGCCCTCCCTCCCTCATCATTCTAGGTACAGGCACATTCCTTTGAAGTTGCAAAAGAGTTTGAAGAGTACAATCTTTCTCAGAGAAGAAGACTGTTCTTCAACCGAGAGTGTAGGCAAGGATATAGAATCATTGATAAAGTGGACACATCCTACTAGGGGTTAGGAAACACTGTTTCCATCATCTTTCCTAACAAAAAATATGTGAATAACATAGAACTGAAAGACAAGACATATTTATATTCTTCGTTCTTTCACTCAGTAAATATTTACTGGGGCCAGGCACAGTGGCTCATGCCTGTAATCCCAGCCCTTTGGGAGGCCCAGGTGGGCGGATCACCTGAGGTCAGGAGTTCGAGACCAGCCTGACCAACATGGAGAAACCCCATTTCTACTAAAAATACAAAACTAGCTGGGTATGGTGGCGTATGCCTGTAATTCCAGCTACTCAGGAGGCTGAGGCAGGAGGATCACTTGAACCCAGGAGGCGGAGGTTGAGGCGAACAAATCTTGTGCCATTGCACTCCAACTTGGGCAACAAGAGTGAAACTCCATCTAAAAAATTAATAATAATATTAAGCACTCATTATGTGCCAAACACTATTCTAGGTGCTGGGATACAGCAAGGAACAAAGCAAAGTCCCAGCCTTGGTGGAGTTCACATTCTAAGGCACCCAGGCATATTTTCCCAATATGCCAGTCTCCAACCTTTTTGGCACCTGGGAGCAGTTTCATGGAAGACAACTTTTCCATGAAAATTTTGGGGGAAGGGGGTTTCAGGGTGAAACTGTTCCACTTCAAATAATCAGGCATTAGATTCTCATCAGGAGTGCACAACCTAGATCCCATGTATGAGCAGTTCACAATACGGTTCACACTCCTATGCTGCTGCTGATCTGACAGGGAACAGAGTTCTGGTGGTAATGATTGCAAGCCCACCAGCCGCTCATCTCTTGCTGTGCAGCCTGGTTCCTAACAGGCCACAGACAGGGGGCTTCTATTTTAGGGGATAGAGATGGACAGCAAACAAGTATATAATATGGCCTGTAGTGATAGCCCTTTAAGTAAAAATAGAGCCAGGCACAATGGCTCATGCCTGTAATCCCAGCATTTTGGGAGGCTGAAGAGGAAGGGTCATTTGAGCCCAGGAGTTCGGGACTACCCTGGGCAACATAGGGAGACTCTGTCTCTACAAATAATCAAAAGATGAGTTGGGTGTGGTGGCATGTGCTGTGGTCCCAGCTACTCGGGAGGCTGAAGTAGGAGGACTGCTTGAGCTCTGGAGGTCAAGCCTTCAGTGAGCCGTGATCACGCCACTTTATTCCAGGCTGGGCAACAGAGTGAGACCTTGTCGTGATAAATTAAAGAAAGAAAGAAAAAGAAAAATAGAGCAGTGTAGCCATTATTTAAGATGGGTGGTTAGGGAAGGTCTCTCCAAGATATAGACAGTTGGGTATGTGCATGAAATGGAGAAGCAATGCATTTAGGGGAAGAGAAGTCCAAGCAGAGGAAATGGTTAATGCAAAGGCCTTGAAGTAGAAACATGTTTAGCATGTTCAAGGAACAGCAGAAAGACCAATGGGCACAGTTGGAGCAGATTAAGCAAGGAAGACAGTGTCATGAGATGTGACTGGAGAGGCGAGTGGAACCGAGTCATGTAGCATCTTTAAGGAGTTTGGATTTTATGCCAAGTACAATGGAAGCCATGGCAAGGTTTTGAGCAGAGGAGTGACATGATACGGTCTGTTTCTGGGCTGGGTGCCATGACTCGTACCTGCAATACTAGCACTCTGGGAGGCCAAGGCTGGCAGACTGCTTGAGTTCAGGAGTACAAGACCACCTGAGCAACATGGCGAAACCTCATCTCTACAAAAACACAAAAAACTAGTTGGGCATCGTGCTGTGCGCCTGTAGTCCCAGCTACTCGGGAGGCTAATGTGGGAGGATTGCTTGAGCCCAGGAGGTGAAGGTTGTAGTGAGCTGAGATCGTGCCACTGCACTGCAGCTTGGGTGACAGAGCAAGACCCAGNAAAAAAAAAAAAAAAAAAAAAAGCAGCGAGACAAATAGCAGGCCGCTGTAAGTGGGTGTGTGGTTGGTTAAGATTCGGGTGGTCAAGTGATAGTGCTGGTGAAAAAGGCTCCAGCAATCTCAGTTTCCCTAGCAAATACTATTTAAAAAGCCATCACCAGGTAATTGATGTGAATTTTTTAAAAATCTTAGAGGGGAAACTGATACAGAAAACGAAGTGTAGAAATAATGGGCTTCTTCTCTGGGCTGAGTGCTGCTAACAACATCCCCTGGGAATCAGTGTTATTTAACATTTCATAAAAGATTAAGAAAAAGGAATACTTTGAGATAGTTCTAGGTACACAAATTATACTTTCCTTTCCACATAGTAAAATGTCAAATCAATAGGGAGCATCTTCTGGAACATCTCTAAAGCCATGTGTATAAGCTGGAAAGTGGCAGGTATCTTGTCACATGGATGAGTGTATGGCAGCTCACATAGGGGAAGACAATTCAGAGGATACCTTTAAGACGATGAACTCTGAACTGCCCGTTGCCACCAAGATAAGGAATCTGGAAGTTGTTTTAGATTACTACTTCAAGACATCAACTCTTCTAAAGCCCAAACAGCCAGCAAAAGTTCTGGCTGTCTGGAATAAAGACAAAACATCCACCTTAACAAAGCCTTAGTACATTCCTCTTTGGGCTTTGTGTGCAGTTAAGAAAAAGAAGCACCTTCTAGAGAAAGGCAGGTAAAATGATTAAAAGAATAGAGGGGTGGCTGGGCGCAGTGGCTCATGCCTGTAATCCCAGCACTTTGGGAGGCCAAGGTGGGTGAATCACGAGGTCAGGAGTTCAAGATCATCCTGGCCAACATGGTGAAAACACATCTCTACTAAAAATACAAAAATTAGCTGGCTGTGGTAGTGCATGCCTGTAATCCCAGCTACTTGGAAGGCTGAGACAGGAAAATAGCTTGAACCAGGGAGTTGGAGGTCGCACTCCAGCCTGGGTGAGAGAGCAAGATTCAGTGTCAAAAAAAAAAAAAAAGAAAAAAAAGAGGGGCTTCCCCTCCCCTGCCCTGGGTTAAATGGCCATAAAGAAGACAAGATGAATGTGTATAAAAGCATTAAAGATTCAGAGAGAGTAAAAATAACTCTTTTCATAGAATCCTATAATTCTAAAATCTGAGAACAGAAGAAGCTTGAAAATGGGACTAATGGGGCCAGGTAATCCTGGCTCATGCCTGTAATCCCAACACTTTGGGAGGCTAAGGCTGGCAGATCACGAGGTCAGGAGATCGAGACCATCCTGGTAACATGGTGAAACCCTGTCTCTAATAAAATATGAAAAATTAGCCGGGCGTGGTGGCCGGCACCTGTAGTCCCAGCTACTTGGGAGGCTGAGGCAGGATAATAGCTTGAACTGGGGAGGCAGAGGTTGTAGTGAGTTGAGATCACGCCCCTGCACTCCAGCCTGGTGACAGAGTGAGACTCCATCAAGAAAAAAGAGAAGAAAGAAAGAGAGAGAGAGAGAGAGAAAGAGAGAGAGAGAGAGAGAGAGAGAGAAAGAAGAGGAAGAAGAAGAAGGAGGAGGAGGAGGAAGGAAGGAAGGAAGGAAGGAAGGAAGGAAGGAAAGAAGGAAGGAAGGAAGGAAGGAAAGAAAGAGGGAAAGAAAGAAAGAAAGGCGCGTAATGAAGAAACAGTCACTGGAGGACATATAAAGAAGGTCCTTCTTTGGCTGGGGCCAGGGGTCAGGTCTTTAAGCATTCTCCAATGTGTGGAAGGACATGGGGTCGGGTCTTCAAGTATTCTCCAATACGTGGACGTACATGTGGTAGCTGTGAATGGGGGGTGGGGGACCCCTCAACAGTCCTTCGATGGGACAAAAACCACTCTAGACTGGTGCCCGCTTTCTCTCTGTCCCCAAATCACCACGAAATACAAGCACAGAAACTCAAAAACAGCAAAAAACACCGACAAGATATTCAAAATGCTAATATTACATCTCATTGTCTGTGAAAATTAAACTGAAAATGAATCCAAGGGTGCAAGATTTATAATAGATTAACAAGGGAAATTAAGGATGTTGGTGGGGCCGGGAGGAGATGCATCCTTAACTTTGTGATTCACACAATGGAGCTATACTGTGTCCTTCAAAGAAATGGTACTTGGTAAGCTGAGTTGGACGGCTATCACAAACCATTTCCTATACACTGTTAGCATAGTCAGAAAGTGAGAGTTATGGACTGACATCGGGATTAGATCATTTGAATTTTTCACCCACAGCACAAGTCCTTCCATCGTTTTCAATAAACAGAGCGAGAGGGAGACTCTGATGAACCGTTGCTCACGTGTTGAACAGTTAGCAACTCCGGGCTATCGGATCCCTGATGACCTTCCTTCAGAAAAACGAACGGACATGTAAACGGAACGAGGAAGGGGAGGGTAATAACCAGTGTCACTGAGTTGAGAGATGTTAAAAATGGACCACAATCAACACATGGGCCCTTACTTTTAGGTTAAAGATTCCTATATATAAATACATATTATGCTCGCCCTTGCCAAAAAATATTAGACTCAGGAAATTCATTCCTCACGAAAAAAATAATCCCCTCTCTTCCATTCCTTAGGTCCCTTACTTTACCTGCTTCTTCCCTCTGGAGGGTAGGAACTTTGAGCCCCGCCTCTCTGCTCCTCCAAGCTCCGCCTTCCCCATCCACCTGTGTGCCCTGCCCCTGACGTTACCCGTTGGCTTCAGCGGCTTGCAGGATTCCGGCTCCCGATTGGTCGGCCCATCCACAGTTTGCGCAGCTCACCAATGGCAGCGGCGCTGGGTGGAGGGGTGCCCACATCCAAGATGGCGTCCCCAGGAGCTGGGAGTGGGTGACCGGCGGCGGGGAAGCGGCCTGGGTTGGCCCTCAGATTGCGGGGTCTGGGGGCATCTCTCCAGGCAACCCCCTTGGCCCGCCTACAAGGCCTTTCCCCGGCCAGAGCAATGGCCGCTGAGAACAGCAAGCAGTTTTGGAAGAGGAGCGCTAAGCTGCCGGGGAGGTGAGCCCAGGACGCTGAGAGGGAAAGGGGATTGGACCAAACCTTTCCAGTTCCTAATCCCTAATCCCGCGGGCCTGGGGCGCCACCGAGGCCGGAAGACTGGTTTGGGGAAGCCGGGCTGGGGAAACTGGGGCTGCCTGGTGGCGGCAGGGCAGCTGTCAGGCAGAGGAGCGAACAGCGAGCTTTGGGGACGGCTGGATGTGGGTGTAGACCGTGGTCTGGGGGCGGAGGTTTCAGGAGGGGTGCCCTCAGCTGGAAGGTGGCCGAAGATTGGGCGCAACCCGCAGTGGAGTTGGGTGAGAGGTCAGTGTCGGCCCTGGTCTCGGAGGTTCATCCCCAGAGCTGCCTCCCACTGTAATCAGAACTCCCTCTCAGGGGTCTCCACCACGCACAGGTGGTTGCTCGCTTGAGGATGGCCCCTTCCCTTGCTCCCCTAGCTGGACACTTACCCGAAGGGTTCTGGTGGGAGTTTGTGGCCGCTTGCCGAGAGTGTTAGGCAAGAAAAGTGAGGACAATTCTCAAGCCCGACCTTACTTTATCTTGAGTTGGCCCTTTCCCACTGGGAATTAATACAAGGCGACCACAGAATCAGGGTTTATTCCTTTGGCATTTTCTAAGGATTTGTCCAACCCCAAGTGACTTCTTCCTTCCTTGCATTGTAATGCTCTTCTTGTGCAAATGCACTAAATCCTTTCATTCTTCAGTTGTTTAGCTGGAGAGCAGACCTCCTAAGACTACCCCCCACCCTCTTTTTGGTGTATGAGACTTTTAGCAAATTACCCATCCATCAATCTATTGATTTACTGTTTCAGTTTATTTTGGGGAGAGTCCTGAGAAGTATAAGGAAGAGTGTGTATTTCAGTCGTGAATTTAAGATTTCTGCCAGCCACAGTCTACTTGGTGATGAAATTCATGTTTGGTTGTGCCCCATGTGCTACCTTTTCTAGTGGATTCAGGTTTTTTCCTTCTGAGATAATCTTTTGAACTCGTGACGTTTTTTTTTTTGAGACAGAGTCTCTCTGTTGCCCAGGCTGGAGTACAGTGGTGTGATCTCAGCTCACTGCAGCCTCAAGTGATTCTCCTGCCTCAGCCTCCCTAATAGCTGGGACTACAGGTGCATGCCACCACGCCTGGCATATTTTTGTATTTTTAGTAGAGATGAGATTTCACCGTATTGGCCAGGCTGGTCTCGAACTCCTGACCTCGTGATCCACCCACCTCAGCCTCCCAAAGTGCTGGGATTACAGATGTGGGCTACTGTGTCCAGCCGACTTTACTTATTTATTTATTTATTTTTTAAGCAAGAGAGAAATGAGGGTCAATAGTGGCTAGATAAGAGCCTTAATTTTTTTTTTTTTTTTTTTAATGAAATAGAGACAAGGTCTCACTCACAATGTTGCCAGGACTAGCCTCTAACTCCTGGCCTCAAGTGATCCTCTTACCTTGGCCTCTCAAAGTGTTGGGATTTCAGGCATTAGCCACCATGCCCCAGCAAGTCTTATTTTATTAAGGATCCGATTTAGGACATATGGAGAATAGGGTGGAAATCAGCTTTTAGTAATATTTATTAAACTAATAGGAAAGCAAAGATAACTGCAGATTAAAGTGCTGTGGATTTACAGTGTTAATATTACTGTTAAAGATGTTCTGCGTCTTTAGGTAAGCACCACTTCCTGCCAGCTGATTCGTTTTCCTTCCTGGTCTAGTGAGCTCTCTAGTTGTGCTGACTGCTATTCTCTGGGATTTTCCATAGTGAGATCATTAAATTTTGACATCCTAAGATTATAATCAGAATCAATAGGAAAACTGTTGTATCAGGAAGCAGTGTAAGAGAAGTGTGACATGGCATGGCCTTCTCTGCCTTCTGACTGGTGGTTGCTATTAACAGTTTTTTTCCCCATATCTCCTGTGTTTGACTGTAGAACAGTCAACTTTTTTAAAGTACTACTTTTCTGAGATAGGAAGAGAAGTCTTTTCAGTTTCCTCAAGTTTCTGGATTCCCTTTTTATTTTGAAGAATATAGAGAAATTGAGAGAAGGCCAGGAACAATGCCTCGTGCCTGTAATCCCAGCACTTTAGGAGGCTGAGGCAGGCAAATCATGGGGTCAGGAGTTGAAACCATCCTAGCCAACATAGTGAAACCCCGTCTCTACTAAAAATACAAAAATTAGCTGGCTGTGGTGGTGCGGTAGTCCCAGCTACTCGGGAGGCTGAGGCAGGAGAATCACTTGAACCCGGGAGGTGGATGTTGCAGTGAGCAGAGATCATGCCACTGCACTCCAGCCTGGTGACAAAGGGAGACTCCGTCTCTAAATAAATAAATAAATAGACGACAAAGCAAGACTCCATCTCTAAATAAATAAATAAGTACATGGAAATAGAGAAATTTTGCCGGGCGCGGTGGCTCACGCCTGTAATCCCTACACTTTGGGAGGCTGAGGCGGGCGGATCACGAGGTCAAGAGATCAAGACCATCCTGGCCAACATGCTGAAACCCCAGCTCTACGAAAAATACAAAAATTAGATGGGCGTGATGGCATGTGCCTGTAGTCCCAGCTACTTGGGAGGCCGAGGCAGGAGAATTGCTTGAACCGGAAAGCGGAGGTTGCAGTGAGCTGAGATACCGCCACTGCACTCCAGCCTGGCGACAGAGCGAGACTCTGTCTCAAAAAAAAAAAAAAAAAAGAAAGAGAGAACTTTTGAGTTCAGAAAGACTTGGGTTACTGTTTGGACTCTCTTGTGTGTGTGACCAAGACAAATAATCTTTCTAGGCTTCAGTTTCCCTAGGAAATGAGAAACAAAAATACTTTCCCCAGAGTTACTGGGGGGACTAACTGAAATACCCTATTTGTAAAGAACCTAGGGCAGATTTATTTAGCCTATTATAGTTGCTCAAAAAACAGTAGTTATTAATATTACTGTCATTAATAGAGCAGGTAAACATTTAAAAGAATGTTTCTCAGATCCTTATCCCAGCTCGTCTTCGTTAAGGATTAAAATATTGTCACAATTCATAATAGTTTGGTAAAGTTAAATATTGTTCAGCTGTGTGCTTCTAGCAGTGAAGCCCACGAGCCACTGGTTGTAGGAAAAAACTAAGGTTTTTTTCTTTGTTTGTTTTTGTTTTGTGACGGAGTTTCGCTCTTGTTGCTCCGGCTGTAGTGCAATGGCGCGGTCTCGGCTCACCGCAACCTCCACCTCCCGGGTCCAAGCGATTCTCTTGCCTCAGCCTCCCAAGCAGCTGGGATTACAGGCATGTGCCACCACGCCCGACTAATTTTGTATTTTTAGTAGAGGCAGGGTTTCTCCATGTTGGCCAGGCTGGTCTCCAACTCCCGACCTCAGGTGATCTGCCCGCCTCTGCATCCCAAAGTGCTGAGATTACAGACGTGAACCACCGCGCCCCACCCAAAACTAAGGTTCTTTTAGATAGAATCGTACTTTGATTTAAAGAAAATATTAGGGCATTTTCTCAAGAATAGAACTTTTGCATCTGTACTCTTTCAGTCTTAGAGAAGAAAAACTTTCTCCCAGGTGGGGAAATGACACAAATGACTGTACTAGATGCTTTGCAACTTGGAAATGAAACTAGTTTACTCTTCTTTGCCAATTGAAAGGTGAAAAATCAAAGTGATGACAGGTTTCTTTCAGTTTGTCTGATCACGATCCAGCAACCTTAGTGACACCAAATAGAACTTTTATTAAATAAAATATGTTGAAAATGAATGAAACATTCTTTTTAAAGATAACAGCGTTGAGATATAATTCACATACCATAAAATTTACCCTTTTAAAGTGTACATTTCAGTGGTATTTAGTATATTCATTTATAGTACAGATGGTTTTGTACAACCATCAACACTAATTTCAGAACATTTTCATCATCCCAAAAAGAAACTACATACCTGTTTGCAGTCACACCCCATCCACCGCACTCCAGACCCTGGTAACTTTAATCTACTTTCTGTTTCTGTGGATTTACCTCTTTTGGACATCTTATATAAATGGAGTAATATGATATGAGGTCTTTTGTGACTAGCTTCTTTTTTAAGCACAGTGATTTCAGGCTTGTCCACGTTGTGGCATGTATCAGCACTTCATTACGTTGTATGGCTGAATAATATTCCATAGGGTAGATACACCACATTTTGTTCATTCATCAGTTGACCATTTGAATTGTTTTCGCTTTTTGGTTATTGTGAATAATGCTTTTATGAACATTTACGCACAGGTTTTTGTATGGTTATATATTTTCTATTCTTCTGTGGATAAATAGGAGTGGAATTGCTGGGTCATGTGGTAACTTGGTGGAACTAAACATCTTTTAAGTTCTCTCAGTTATTCACATAAGCCCCATGTACTTAGCACATCAAATGGTCATTGTATTGATGCCTAGAAGAGGCAATCTGTACCATTGTGGTTAAGAATGCAGGCTTTGGTGAGCGTGGTAGCTCACACTTGTAATCCCAGAACTTTAGGAGGCTGAGGTTGGTGGATCATTTGAGGCCAGGAGTTCAAGACCAGCCTGCCCAACATAATGAAACCCTCATCTCTAATAAAAATACAAATTAGCTGAGTGTGTGTGCCTGTAGTCCGAGCTACTCAGAAGGCTGACATATGAGAATCGCTTGAACCTGGGAGGCAGGCAGGAGTTATATGAGCCGAGATTGAGTCACTATGCTCCAGCCTGGGCAAGCTCCAGCCTGGGCAACAGAGCGAGACTCCCATCTCCAAAAAAAAAAATGCAGGCTCTGAAATCTGACTCCCTAGGTTCAAATCCCAGCTCTGCTTTCTAGCTATGTGATCTTATAGAATTTAATTAACCTCTTAATGCCTCAGTCTCCTCATCTGTAAAATACGGACAGAGTATCTGCCCCAGGGGGCTGTTATGAGGATTAAATGAGATAATACATAAAAATTGATTAGGAAGTACACAATAATATTACCTATTATAAGAATGATAATTCCAATGATAGTAGCTATCATTTTTGTTTTCTCTCCTTGCTTTAGTTTTTGAAACTGAAATTGAAAAGCTTTGATCTGGCTGGGTGTGGTGGCTCACGCCTGTAATCCCAGCACTTTGGGAGGCTGAGGCGGGCAGATCATTTGAGGTCAGGAGTTCGAGACCAGCCTGGCCAACGTGGTAAAACTCTGTCTCTACTAAAAATACAAAATAAATTAGCTGGGCCATGGTGATGCATGCCTGTAATCCCAGCTAGTAGGGAGGCTGAGGCAGGAGAATTGCTTGAACCCAGGAGGTGTAGGTTGCAGTGAGCCGAGACCATGCCACTGCACTCCAGCCTGGGTGACAGAGTGAGACTCAGTCTTTAAAAAAAAAAAAAAAAAAAGCTTTGATCAGTGTGTATGTGTCTAGAGCCTGGGCACAGGAGAAAAAAAACAGGGTCACACTCTGTTGCCCAGGCTGGAGTGCAGTGGCATGATCTTGGCTCACTGCAGCCTCTGCCTCCCAGGTCCAGGTTCAAGCATTTCTCCTGCCTCAGCCTCCCAAGTAGTTGGGATTACAGGCACATGCCACCATGCCCAGCTAATTTTTTGTATTTTTAGTAGAGAAGGGGTTTCACCATGTTGGCCAGGCTGGTCTTGACCTCCTGACCTCAAGTGAGCCACCCACCTCAGCCTCCCAAATTTCTGAGATTATAGGCATGAGCCACTGTGCCTGGCCCTGGCTGATTTTTGTATTTTTTGTAGAGACAGATCTTGCCATGTTGCCCAGGCTGGTCTTGAACTCCTGGCTCAAGCAGTGTGCCCACTTCAGCGTCCCAAAGTGTTGGGATTACAGGCGTGAGCCTCTGTGTCTGGCCAAAATCCAAATTATTTGAGTCTTTCAGGCTCTTCAGTGTTGGGAAGAGAGGCCAAGTTAAGGACTTGAACCTAATCCTAAAATCGTAATGAATCTGTTACTCCTATCACTTAGTGTCACAGCCTTTCTGGGCAGGTGTGTTACAACCTGTTCTTGGCTTGGAG